TGGCCTGCGTACAACCCTTCTGGTCTATTATTTCCACTAAAGCTCACAGTCCCGACTGGAACATTGCCAGCACTAATTTTATTTCGGCAGTTAGCGTCCCTCCACCTCCAATCCACTTTTACAGCAGCGGGTTTCAATAAACCTCCATAACGTAATCTAAAGTCGATACCGACCTTGCATGATGATCCATACTTATTTTCTTGTCGGTCGGCGGCAGTGGAACTCCACGTCGTGGTGTGGCCAAGTAGTCCAATGACGGTCTATGGTGCTGCTGGCTAGTGGCCTCCAGAAGGCTTTCCAAGTCTGTAACAGTTAACCAGAAGCATAAGCTCATTCTTAACAAAAGATAAATTTATGCCAGTTTGCAAAAGCCTACATTTGAGTTCGACAACAACTTGAGCGACTGTTAACAACCGATGAAACGAGAAGTATCCGAGAACAAGAAAATGGCTTGTTTTGTAATGGGATAAATTGTGCTTATTAGATATTGAAGACCGCCGATGGTATGTATGAATGTAAGTAACCTTGGACAAAAGACCGCGCAACGGTCGCCTGCCCAAACGGTAAGAGCGTATACTAAAACAAGTGGAAAGAAGACGGATTAGCTGAGAATTTAATATTCCAGATGCTCTTCAGAGACACTTAACTGCTACGCACTTTATGACATGGTCACTGCAGTGAAAATATTGACTTGCGTAGCGTTTACCCACAATTTGTTTCAAAATACGCAACTTATTATGATTAAAACTATCTTAAAAACAAGCCACCTCACAGGCTACAATTCGCACCTCAAAAGCTACAGCTTGCATGACAGATACAATAGAAGCACTGCTGGATCCACTTCTAAAACCACCTCAAATGTTTAAAAAACTTTGCTAGACGACGGGTGACCGTGGATTTTTTAAATAAACTATTCTGCCCGTCCAGTCACCTCTAATGTGCTCGCGCGTAACGCATAAGTTGCAGAGCACAAGATGATGAATACATCGACTAACATTCTACAAGTGGTATACAAGAGCATCCGAAAGATCACTTTATTTCTCAAAATTTCGGTCAGACTCCCTAAAACGCGATTCCTTAAAAAATAAATAGCAAAGCGCACCAGACTAGCCGGTGCAATCATGCGTTTTTTACAATTCAGCCCATCGAACGATTACCTGAATTCGAAACCATGAAGAGTGAACATCTTTCCGTGATTCGCGAGTTAATAGTTTACTCTCTAAAATTTTCTCGAGGCCGTAGGTTATACGCGAAAGCGCGGGTACGCTGAATTTGAATAGGCAGGGTTGAGCATGGGCAGGGGTCATCACCCTAAAATTTCAGCTTTGTAGGCCTTGCGGTTCCCGAGATAATTTACCCGCAAAAAATTTCACTGGCCCATACGTGATACCCGAGAGAGCGGGAACGCAGAACTTGAATAAGCAAGGTTGATTGTGGGCAGACGGTCATTCCCCTAAATTTCAGCTTTCTAGACTCCGTGGCCCTTGAGATAATAATTTACCCGTCAAAAATTTTCACGAGGTCGTACTTGTTACCCGCGAGCAAAGGAAAGCTGAACTTAAATTTTCCGGGTAGCACATGGGCGGGGGCCATGGTCACAGAATTTCAGCCTTTTACCCTCCATGGTTCCCGAGATACTGGTTTTATCCGAAAAACTTTTACGGGGCCGTACGTGTTACCCGCAGATACGGGAAGGCTGAATTTAAATTTGCCGCGTCATCCGTTGCCGGGGAACACTATACAAAAATTTCAGTTGCCTAGCTATTGTGGTTCCCGAGCTAAAAATGTGGGACACACACATACACAAACACACACACAGACAACCCCGAGACAATATGTGTTTTGTACTGCTGTTACACAGCACAAAACGCATAAAAATGGACATGATATTGCATTCAACAGGGCCAGAAACGAGAATCCATATGTACGTACGGTAACAGACGAAGGAAAGCTGAAGTTAATTTGGAAACTACAAACGGCCGAGACGCGAAAACCTAAAAGTCTTAACTACCTGCTTCTATAAATCTGGAGCCGATTCACATCGACACACACACGCGCACACACACACGCACACACATAACACCCAGGCTGGAACGCACTAGGCTTGCCGGTGCGATCATGCGTTTTTGCACTAAACTCGCGGGTCGCTAATAGCAGGAACAGTCCCTGGGCTGCAGCCAAACACTTGGGCTCATATTGGCCATGCTTTGGTTTTTTACGGAATGCAGCAGAGCGGGCATCGGTTGGGATGAGGGTGTTGCATTATGGAGCAGCATGGACCTCCAGGTGTATGATTACCAGTTTTTTGCATGAAGTTCGGTCATTTTTATGCGTTTTTGCCTATATGCAAATTGCAAAAACGCATACTGGAACGACCCTGTCTGTGTGTATGTATGTGTGTGTATGTTTGTGTGTGTGTGTTTGTGTGTGTTCGTTTGTCCGGGTGTTTCAACTCGGTAACCAAGCAAGTTCCAGCGCCGAGATTTTGCTAATTGGTACCCCGGCCGAGTACCACTCCAGAACCACGGTACCATCCCTCACGCACGTCTGGGCCCCGCGTACGGGAG